AGGGCCCGACTTCCCTCAGGACTCAGAACATGGCTCAAAGATCGAGGACCAACTGAGAGAATTTTACTTAGAAGTGACTATAACTCTAAATCAGCAAATACATATATTTTTAAGACATACAAATTGGGATGAAAGAAGAGATGAAAAAGAGGAGGGAGGGAAAAATACAATAACAACAAAGTGAATGTTTTTGAATATTTTTCCCCCACAGCTTTCTTCATGCACTGACCCCGAAACCTGGTGGTTACCTATAAAGTAAAGAGGGTAGACTTCCTCCTTCGCCAAAGGTCCTCTGACCACCGAAACATGTCAGGTAATTAAGCACTATAGCTTCTTCTATATGACATTCTTAACTTTTTTGTCTTATTGAAAGAACCTCTTTCTTGGGCCTTGTTTCTCTGATCCTGGAGCACCTGCATCCCGTCACGACAGGGTTTGTTGTGACCACTGACACACATTTATTGATGACAGTGTTGAGGCGTAGAGGCTTTAAGCATGAGGACACATTATGCTTTTTTTGCTTTGAATTTCAGTTGCTCAGTCCCACTCACAGTTACTTATTTGACATAATGCGGATCACATACAGCATGAGACAATAACATTAATTTAGCAAAAGAACAAAATAAATGTTCATCAGCCACATGAACAATAGACTGTTCTTGTGTCTGGTGTGTCCCAAATAGATCCAAAATAGAAAAAAAAAAAAAAAAAACAGATCCAAGACCATACACGCACAGAACTATTCCCTGCATGTTGTGTGCGTGTCTTTGTGTAACCCGTGCGTAACTGTGCAGCAATAACACATATACTGAAGCTGAACTCAGGAAGTGTCCGCGTCTTCTCCTGAAACGCAACTAAACTCGATAAATTAAAGCTGGGGTACGTACATTTTCTCTTTCATTAACAGCTCATGTTGGTTGTGCCCAAAAGTCAAAGGTTGTGAGCAAATCAAACAGATTGAAGTGCATTCGTGTACAATGACATGTGTCGTTACATTTGATCCTCTCATTTAACTTCAAATGGAGTGGATTTGAAATAGAATGTAAAGAATGCGATTAATCAACTAAAACATTTTAATTGTTTGACAGTCCTAAAATACATTAAAATAAAGCCTGTCCATTCAGATACAAAAACAAATAACCAACCAGCAGCTCTATAAACTGGGTTACTTCTGAACAAGGCCGTGGTTGCTGTTGAATGCTGTTGTTGTGCCCTTGGGCAAGACACTTGAACCGTGCTAAATCAATGTGATATTTTACAACTGATCACTTGTGGCCAGGGGTTTATTTCTGCTCTTTAGAGGATGCAGACTTTAGTGAAGAGGGCTATACCTTCTCAAATCAAAAGTTACAGTAAAAGTACATGTGTATAAGTCATAACTTCTTCATAACTTCTCTTGTGAACAGAAGAATGTTCAGTTGTGATGGTTGTTGATGCGAGTGGACACATGAGGTCAGTGTTAGTGACTGTGTCGAGTTACAGTCGCAGAACTAAAGATAGAGAGCTGTGTTTGAACAGGCTCCACTTTCACCAACACCAAACAACATCAGGGATTATTACTGCTGCATTACCCCCTGATCAGGAGACGACACGTAACGCTGTATTTTTACATTTGGCTATTTTTGTGGATGTAAAGACATTTAAAAAGACTAAATACGTGAAATAGGCCTAATCAATACATGTATATTGTGTAATGTATAGTGTGTGTGTGTGTGTGTGTGTGTGTGTGTGTGTGTATGTGTGTGTGTGTGTGTGTGTGTGTGTGCGTGCGTACCTGGGACTGCATTTATTTGCAGGATTCAGTAATTCAATAAAAATGTTCGAAATTACACATGGGGGGCACGGTGGTGCAGCTTGTGCTTCACAGCAAGAAGGTACTTGGTTTGATTCCACCTCCAGGTTGGTTTGCATGTTCTCCCCATGTCTGTGTAGGTTTCCTCAGGGTGCTTCGGTTTCCCCTACCACTAAAAAGGTGTTTTTAAAATTTTCATTTAACCTTTATTTCACCAGGAAAGTCCCATTGAGATTAAGAACCTCTTTTTCAAGGGAGTCCTGGACAAAAGTTACATACAGTTACATACAAATACAGATTTATAAAAACAGTTACATACACTTTCATAAAATTACGGATTATAAAAACAGTTACATACACTTTCATAAAATTACGGATTATAAAAACAGCTACATTTGTACAATAGGTCTGAATGTAATGAGTGAATGGATGGGGTTGGTTGGGGGCTTTGATGCACCAGTGTGTTCGGTGACCTTGGTCTGTAAAGTGCGTTATATAAATAAACATTACTTACTAACTTACAAGTTGCTTCTACTGTTACAACTTTTGAATAAAAAATATCAATCAATCAGGTGTAGTAGGATACATATTTAAGGACAAATGCTTAACTTCCAAAATACCAAAATGATCCTAAAAAGCACAATCTTAGGCCCACATTTCCAACAGTGATTATACAAACTCCCACATCTCCTGCATGTGACGACATCGGTCCAACTTGACCAGTCTTATAAAGAGCTGATCATTCCCAACTCCTCTGGGCAGCTCAAATGACTCATGTCTTTCTCCTCCTCTTATCTCCTCTCTTCAGCAGCAGACAGTACAAAGCGCCGAATCCCATGAATGAAATGTTAACGCGCAAAGTCTTTCAAGAGGTTATGAATAAGAAATCAAATGCTTTTCGCTCTTTCTCTCAAGACATAAACAAAAACAAAACAGAAATTGCCGAAGAATTGGTCCAAAAGCTTGCAGAGGACCATCTGTGCATTGTCGCCCTGTGATTGAGTCTTAGTGAACTCGCGGGCCCCAAAGACTCCAAATAAACGTGTCAAATATGCAAATGCAGCCGTGGTATATGTCAAAGAGCTGCAGCAGACGCTAAGGACTGTATAGAGGAGGGGCGTGACTCAGACAGTGACGCTCAGGGATAAACTAGACCTCAACAACAAACTTCAACACATCATGAAGCTGTGGACGAAAGAGAAATTGAGCAACTGCTACACTTTAGATTTTGATCTTTCAATGATATTCTCAAACAGTATTAAAAAGGCATTAACAAAAAAAAAATGCATTAGGATTGTTTTGAATCAGGAATGTCAAACTTAGGCCCAAGAGCCAAATTCCAGCCCACCAGACAATTTCTAATGGCCTCTGTAACATTGAAGGTAGGGGCTGCTATGGCATGTTTTACTTAATTAAAAAAAATAATTAAACAACCAAACAATTGTATATGTTCTAAAATGTATTTAGTTTCTTATTGTTATTATAGTTACTTATTATTATTTCTTATAGTTACTTAGTATTTTTCCAATACATCTCTTAATGATATAAGGCCGAGTTGTGGTTGAATCCAAACCTACAAGAAAATAATATCCAAACTCATGTAAAATATAAAAATTTGAACATATCCTGTAAAAAAAAAAAAGCTTGTATACTTCCGGCTCCAGCCAGCTCTTATATTTTTTTTTATTTGGCGCCCAACCAAAATGAGTTTGACCCCCGTTTGAATGAATTCTAATCATAAATGTATTGAATGGTTGCTCACATGTGATTAATGTCAAATGTTAGCTACTTACTTCATGTGATTCTTAACTTCAACAACTTTTGAAGGAGATCACTTCAATTATATTTCATTTTTAATAAAAGAAAGCATTTTGTTGACCATAAGCCATCAAGTAAACTATGTATTGTTCAAATCTAAAATGGTCCCTTCTCTTGGAAAAATCACACACAGATCAAACACAAGAAATGCAACGATAAAAACACACTTGGAGCCATTGGTCCATAAGGGGCAGATGATCATGTCTGTAAATGTTGATAAAGTCCATACATTTGGTTGAATGATGAGGGTCCTGATCTGTCCTTAGACCGTCCTGCATCAGAAAGGAAAAACTCTAAAACTCTCAAATTGATCAGAAAACCCAACTCTGGAAAGCCACACTGTAACAGGAGCAGGACAGACACCACTTCTTTAGTAGTTGTCTGTTTTGTGGGTCACCTTGCGCAGCGTGACTTCCTCTCCCCCCCCTCCCCCCTTTGAGCGCCCGGGACAGCAGCAGTCATCCAGCGACCTGAATGCCCCCTACTCCCCCACTCCTGCTGCTGCTGCTGCTGCTGCTGCTGCTGCTGCTCCTGCTGCTGAGTGTGGAGGACCAGGACAGGACCAGGACGCACGCACATCCCAGACCCAAGTGGGAGAGGGAGGGGGGAGGAAAGGAGAGGACACAAGAGGAACCAGCAGCAGGGAGGGTGAGAGAGAGAGAGAGATATACAGGGTGAGAGAGAGAGAGAGATACACAGGGAGGAAGAGAGAGAGAGCGAGAGAGGGCGAGAGAGGGAGAGACAGAGAGAGAGACACAGGGAGGGAGAGAGAGAGAGCGAGAGAGAGATACACAGGGAGGGAGAGAGAGAGAGCGAGAGAGAGCGAGAGAGGGAGAGACAGAGAGAGAGACACAGGGAGGGAGACAGAGAGAGACAGAGATAGATACACAGGGAGGGAGAGAGAGAGAGAGATAGAGAGAGATATACAGGGAGAGAGAGAGAGAGAGAGATAGAGAGAGATATACAGGGAGAGAGAGAGAGAGAGAGAGAGAGATATACAGGGAGAGAGAGAGAGAGAGAGAGAGAGAGATACAGGGAGAGAGAGAGAGAGAGAGAGAGAGAGGGGCAGGGAGATACACAGGGAGGGAGAGAGAGGGGGGGGCAGAGAGAGAGAGAGGCCGAGAGACACGGGGAGAGAGGGACAGAGAGTGAGACACACATAAAGAGACACGACACGGAGACACACACAGAGAGCCAGAGAGAAGTAGAGAGAGAGAGAGAGAGAGAGAGACGCACAGAGACAACACACACAGAAAAGGAGATAGACCGAGACACACAGGGAGAGAGAGAGAGGCAGAAACACACACGCACACAGGGAGAGAGGGGGGGTAGTTGTAGATGTAGCTACAAAGGGAGCTACTAACACCCGGGCTGCTTCGCCAACACATCCATGGGTGGTTGCGTTGGCAGTCACCACGACTCCACGGGCAGCCTAAACGAGAACTCGGACGGCACTGGAGGTAACTTATAACCAGCTTATCCGATCTTCCTGGTCTGTGCATGTGTGCGTGCACGTGTGTGTGTGTGTGTGTGTGTAAATGCATTTTCCTCTTGGGGATTTAAAAGCGATGGTTGGGTTGGTGTCTGCTGCTGGGGCATCGGGAGCGCGCTGGGGGTCCCTCTGGCTGGCGATCGCTCCCGGAGGTTTGCGTCCATGGAGCGGGCAGATGTAGCAGGTTCTCTTCCCCCCCGTGTGGTTGCAAGGGTTCAGGGCATGCACTGGAGAGTTTTGAGCCTTGTGCATGTGGCATAAAGTGAGGAATGTGGAAGGAACGATGCCAGTGCTACCCTTTGTTCTTTGAGGGAGCTAGCGGTGGCTAAAGCGAAGTAGCCCCGTTAGCCTGCTAGCTCCTCCTGCAGAATATATGGGTCACACACACACATAAGCAGACAGGCACTGTGCGTTTTGGTTTTGGTGATTACGTGAGTGTTTTGGGCCCTAGTGCAGGACATCTGATGCATGCATTGTCTACTCCTCTTTGGCTGTTTGCATCTCCTCACCTTGCCCCATGACAACATTTAACTTTTTAATACAAAACAAATGCCATAAGTGTGTGTGTCAATGCACTGTGCCCTCCTCATATCCAATCACTTGCAGCCTATGTATGTGTTGTGTGGTTATGGCATCCTTTCTGAATCTCAAAACTGCTTATTACTATTTTACATGTGTTTATAGGCCTATATTTCCCAGTTCAAGAAGAATTATTATATGAATCAGGCCCAAGACCTTTCCCATAATAAGACATCTATTTAGGAATCTCTGTGTCTTAAGTTTCATCTAACATTTAAAAGCAAAAATGTTTAAACACATCTGCTTGTCGGATTATAAATAAGATAAGAAAAGTCCAAATCAGAGATAAAAACTGACAACATCCTTCACCTTATCTTGGCCTGTCTGGATAATTACTATAAATACTTATCTTTCTGTAGGTGATGGATAAAACAGTATATTTTGAGCCACAATTATTATTTGTTGTATATTTTTGCTGTAGTGGCGATTGCTATGAGTAATTTGTTGTTGTTCTAACGGGTTTATTACGTCTAAATATTACTCACCAGCTTTTTTAATGAAATTGATCAATCATAAAATGGCTTTAAGGTATGATCCTGCATTATTGTTCTTGTGTCAGTGGCAATCGTTCCAATAATATCGTTTGTGTATTGCAATAATTTAGCAAATCCTTGGCTGTCACAATTAGTTATTATTAGTGTATGACAGTCTTTAACCAACAGCTGTACAACAAGGGGGAAAAAAACACATCTTTGTTGAGGTTCAGAGAGTTTACAGCCCTAACCGCACTGGTCAGAGAGATCCTAAATATGTTTTTGTTTGCTGAGATCTCTCCATCCATCTCCTTCCTAAAGGTCCTAAATGTTTGTGAAGAGTGATGTTCCCTCACGAGCTCTTGATAGATGCATTTTAAAGCTCTCTGTGGACGACATATTACCTTTGAGCTCATGTTTACAATATGCTGCAGTTCGTTCTCTCTCTCTCTGCATGCTATTTTTATACCGCATCAGCATGTTTAAAGTTAAAATGCAAAACCTCAGCTATACTGCTACTACTGCCATTACTACTACAGCGAGGGAATACTCCTTAACGGCTGCTGCTTCTTTTAGTTCGGCTTAGCACATCTACACATCTAAGGCCATGTTGACTGCAAACAGGGTGCAGGGTGATGTTATCAGGCTGTGGTCAGGAAGGGAAGGTCCTATAGAAAATGACAAGGCTTTGCACTCCAGAATGCACTGTCAGGTTTCAAGGGTTCATTTTAATGTCTTCTTAAGGTTCAAGGTGACTTTATTTGTACCTATGGGTAGATTCTTTTTGCAGTTCAAAAGAGAGAGAGTCACATTGTCACTCAGCGCTTTCTTGAATACCAGTAATACTTCATAAACTCTAAGGCGCACCTGTAAATAAGCCGCACCAGCAACATTTGAAAAGGAAGTACATCCTGGTCCACATATAGGCCGCACTTGAATATAAGCCGCAAGTTTTCGTGTTGTAACGTAGCAGATAGCGTTTAACAGCTTCCATGCCGGTACTCATTCACCAGTCTACAGTATGTTGACAATAAACAAGTGTCTAAAGCTAAAAAACTTGAGTCAAAATAATAAATCCATAAACTCGGCTCTGATAACTCTTACAACAATAAAAATACACATATTAGCCGCATCGCTATATAAGACGCAAGGTTCAAATAACTAGTAGAAAATTAGCAGAGCTGTTTGTCCGGAAATTATGGTATATTTGTATGAGAACAGAGCAGCCCCAGAGAAACTAATCATTGATAATGAAAGGGAAATACGTTTAGGAGAGATGAGTACTTCAGTAGGTCAAGGTGCTCATCAGGCTCAGCAGTGAAAAATCTCTGGCAACATGTGAGAAACTAGATAAGTGAACACAAATCTTGACAGTAAAAAGAAAGTGTGGTACATGTCCTGTATTTAGTCCCTGTTTTATTAAAAAGGATTTTCATTTACTGTCTAGATCTAGGGATTTTCTCTTTTCTCACAAGGTAGTACAGTTGTTGGAGCGATCAATTTGGGAGATTGTATGCCAAATGAAATGGCAGAGAGTTTGAAAAGTCTGTAATTTATTCCAGTTAAGAAATATTACAATGAAGTCAGATAGTGTGTGTATTATCACAACATGAAATTACTTATTTTCCATCATTTTCAGCAGCGTCCAGAGAGAAGAATAGGAGGAAAACATGTTTTAAATGGTTGAATGGACATGGCCAGCATCCAATTTCTGTTCATTTCTCACCTATTTTTCCCTAAACAGGATTTTTCAAGTATGAAAATGTATATTAGAGTAGGTTAGAGTCAACTGTATTGTTATTACGATGTCAGAACAATGAAGCAAAATGCAGTTTAGAATCTTTAGGATAATGTTTACAACACAGGCAAGTATAGGATCATATTTACAACACATATGCATATGTGAGTAAGTAAGTAAGTAATCTTTTATTTATATACCGCCTTTTCACTGCAGATCTGAGTCTCAAAGCGGTTTACAATTGTAAATATTTTTTTGGGCATTTGTCTCTCACTCCACACAGAGATGGGAGCGGGGTCGCCAGTACAGGAGGCGCATGCTAGAACTATTGGACATATTTTTAGTGGTAGGGGAAACCGGAGTACCCGGAGGAAACCTACGCAGACACGGGGAGAACATGCAAACTCCACTCAGAAAGGTCCTGGTCCGACCGGGATTCGAACCCAGGACCTTCTTGCTGAGAGGCGAGAGTGCTATCCACTCAGCCACCGTGCCGCCATGTGAGACTGTACTAAGCTAGTATATACACAAACATTACATTAAGTACACACAAGAAGTTGACTTTGGATTGAAGTAAACCCGGTATGTATGTATGTATCTAACTGAGCAATCCTGCGTTATAAAGTAGACTTTGTAAACCACTATTGCTGCTGAAGTTAAAGTGTCATAACTTCAGGTCAGAGGAAGGAAATGCATTGTCTGGTGAGAGATCTTGCGGTTGTTTCTCGGTCTCAAAGGCAGGAAGAGCGTCACAATGCGAAGAGGAAGGGGCCAGTGAAAAGTGGGTTAATGTGAACACATCATGGAGAGGCACAGACAGTGATGCAAGCAGCAAGCGAAGGTCATGGCTGAGATAACAATCAGCTGCATCTACTGCGGCGAACTGACAGACGAAAGACAGGATTATTCAACAACTCTTTTTATTCAGCATTTTAGGATTGATTTTAGTGTAAAGAGTTTGAGGTGATAGTGAGATTGCTGTGCATACAACTGAAGGATTGTATCTTTAATCTTTGTCTTTTGATTATTTCAGATTTGAATGCCTTGTATGATCTTGTATCTTGTTTTGTGAAGCCCTTTGAGTTGCCAAGTTACCGAACTGTGCTGTACGACAAAAACTTGTACTTCTACAATACGATAAACTACTACCAAGAAGAAGAAGATCCTTTATTTATCCCACAATGGGGAAATTTCAGTTTAATGCATACATATACACATCAAGGCAAGCAGCGAACATTACTTCCGCGCTCATTATAGGCAAAGCGGGTTAAGTGTCTTGCCCAAGGACACAACAACGACTTACTGTATCCATGTATTTTATTGATGTAACCAGGGACTGCAGATGGAAACTAGCTGTTTAGCTATAATCTGGTGCAGAACATATCTGTCTTTGAGCTTAATGTCTCTGTACACTGTCCCTTCAAATAAAGACTAAACTAAACAACAGCAGACATCAGTGGAGTTGGTGGACAGGGTCTTGCAGTGGACTCGAACCCACAACCTTTGGGCTAACAGGCCAATGATCTACCAACTGAGCCACTGTCGCCCAAATGATACAAGACAACACATGTACACACACTCACACAGACTCAAACACTCTCTGACCCTACACCTCTCTCCCATTACTTGCTCTTTGCTATCTATTGCAACAGATATTTCTAATTTGTTCCAAAGTGTAGCATTGAGATACACTTAGATTAATTTCAGGCACATGCTGCAATTTTTTTGTTTTCTGTTGAACTTTCATGTTTTTGAATATTTAATGCATTCTTAAAAAGGAAATATACTGATCAACATGAAACATTGAGGAGGGTTTGTAATTTTGTGATCTCGTGGTAAAAGTGCGCACATCAGGAGTGACGTGTATTTGTGACCAAAGTTTGTCGTCTGGAGCTAAGAAGCTAAAACAATTTGCATGGCGTTTATGTGTTCAATGACTCACGATAGGGTGCAGCCTCCAATAAAGTATTTCATCTCTCATCCTCGCAGATGTTAGCAGTGCTGTGTTAAGGTTACTGAGTTTGTTCGGAAATGACTTCATATGAATGTATTAATAATTTGTGAGGACTATGGACATAAATACCTCCTTGTCCCTAATGACTGTGGTGTAGAAATGAACGTACACAAGCATTGAATAAGAAAAGCTTCCAGTTAGATCTAAATCTAAAGTGGTATAGA